GCTCACCCACTGAGGTCCGCCTGGTTTTCGTGTCCCTCCAGCTGCGGGAGTACAAGGTGGTCGGGCGCTGCTTGCCCACGCCGAAATGCACGACTCCTCCTCTGTACCGCATGCGGATCTTCGCTCCGAACCATGTCGTCGCCAAGTCCCGATTCTGGTACTTCGTCTCTCAGCTGAAGAAGATGAAGAAGTCTTCTGGAGAGATTGTGTACTGTGGACAGGTGAGGAATTATAAACCTAAAAGCTTCTTATGGAGTTCCAGCCGGTGTATGTGGAGGGATTTTACAGGAATTGCAGTTATGGGGTGTGAGGTTGAAATCCCTTGTCTTTCAGTTGCTGTGAAAAGGAGTGACAAGTTTGCTGTTTGAAAGTAGTGGTATATGTCTTGTAAACGAAATACAAATTTACTTACTGCTTCAAGATGATGAGTCATGTGTTGCATCTTAGACTTAGGTTCATTGTACAATATACCTTTTAAGAGGCATTTGCACATTTGTAGCCCTGGGAAAGTGGATGTTTGTATGCTTACACTCCTCTTCCTTGATACTTCAAGAACGGTCTTTAGAGCTGAAATCTTGTGGTTTTCTTTGAATTACTAAAGCTCTCTACTCTGAATTACCAAGACATATCCAGCTATCTTGGTAAGGGGAAAGAGAGCAAAGAGTTGTTTTTTGACAGTAAGACTTAAAACAGGAGTTTTGTTAGAGCTCTGAAATCTTTATTCTTAAAATTGTAAAATGGTGATAGTACATCATTTCTAACCACTTCCATGTTCTTGTGTAATTCCAGGTGTATGAGAAGTCCCCTCTGCGGGTAAAAAATTTTGGTATTTGGTTGCGCTATGATTCTCGTAGTGGGACCCACAACATGTACAGGGAGTACAGAGATTTGACCACTGCGGGTGCTGTCACTCAGTGCTGTAAGTATATGTAGCTGTTTCAGATGTAAAATAATAGAAGCAGTATACAAGCAGAAGATTAAGTCTCAAATTAGGCATAAAGCATGCTATCTTAACCCTTGATAAAATAACTGAAACACTGGAAAATCAAGGGAGGAGGTTGCCAGCTATTCCATAGATATTTATCTATTATACATGTGATAGGTGACTTGTTGCCTCTCTTTACAGTTTCTCTGACTGGAAAATACTCCCACTTCTTTTTGGTGTGTCTTTCTACAATTCTAGTAATGAGTGTTGCTATACAAACTGATAATTTAATGACTTTCCAGGTGCTCTGTGTATTTCCTGCACTGCGCTGTTAAGACAATTGAATATATCTTCCCAAGTCGTGTGAAAAGAAGATTTCAGAGATCATGGGGAATTTGTCCTTTATTGAGCAAGTAGGAGAAAAAAAACCACAGGGAAAAAGCCAATACTGTAACTCCAAGATCTCATCACCTCATTTCATTGAGAAGTAATAGTTGTCCTAAATTCAGACTGTTTTGTGAAGTATTTGAGGGATAGACCATTTGTGTTGCTGTTGATACTTGACTCCAGAATGTTATAAGCACTACAGATTGCACATAAAAACCCAAAGAATATTGTTCTCAATAATGATATTCTTGTCATGTGTGCAAATATTAAATGCATCTTGTCGCCTTTCAAAAGCTGAAGTGCTGTTGAAAGTGAAATTTAAGGTTCTACATTAATGTTCAATAATCCCTTTTAATGAACATACTGAAGGATTGCTTAAGAGACCCAAAACCCTTATTTTTCATGATACAATGACTGGTACTTCTGTGTTCTAGACTAGTTGTGACAGGTAAGTTTTAACAGGTGTGTTAGATCTTCATGGGAAACACAGTAGTATTTCAACAGTCATACCTTGTGGAGCTAGCTATGGATGTGATTTGAAGCCAGTGATTTGCACTGCTGAACAGAGAAATTTTCAGGGAGCCTAAGTTCAGATTCTTCTTCCTATTCAAAAAGCCTGATTATGTGGGATGAACATGAATTCATGGTTCTATTGCTGGTCAATTTCAATAGAAGTAAAGGTATCCTCAGGTCCTACTTTCACTTGCACCTTCCTTTTGGAAGGGAAAGTGTTTTGAAGTTCATGTGTCTTTCCAGTAATATTTCAGTGTTGAATCTGAACCACAGGATTTTTTTGTCTTGCAAGGGAGTAAGTAGTCCTAGGTATATTACTTGTGTCCGTGTGTACCTTGAAATTTGACAGGAAGATTCAAATGGCTCTTCCTGTTGTGGAGCTTACTTAGAACTTACAGGAGGAGTTTTCTGCTGCTTGTTGGTTATGCGATGTTTGTGGTATCACTTTAAATAATAGAAACAGTGGTTTTAATTGCAGCTGATCAGAAATTTTAAAAGTTGTAGATGACACGATGAACATTTCTTGAACGAAGGGCTGTAAGGTTCTTGAACTGAACATGTAATAAAATTCCTTTTTAATGAGTTCTGTTGTTCTAGACCGTGATATGGGAGCCCGTCATCGTGCCCGTGCTCACTCTATCCAGATCATGAAGGTTGAGGAAATTGCTGCCAGCAAGTGCCGCAGACCTGCAGTCAAGCAGTTCCATGTAAGTGAGGCAGGACTGGCTGGTGGGTCCTGGGCCAGCATTGGATTGGAAGAGGGGATCTCTCTTGTGTGGTACAGGTTTGTTTTGCAACCAAAAATAGTGCAGGAACCAAACCTGGGTGCATATGTTCATGATTATGGTATATTATGATCAAGACTTCTGCTGCTACAAGTATTTGGAAGAAAGTCACAATAAAGTAAATACATGTTATGGTACAGAAGACATGCCTCTGACTGGCATTACTTTGAAAAAAAGAATGCAAAATTAATTAAGTCCTGTGAAGTATATCTTAAGTTGTGGATGGATTACTTCTCTAAGCATAAGGTAGTCACTGAATACAGCTTGGCCATTTATTCCAATTTATTTTCTGTTGTTCATCTGATACCTCAATTAACATAGAAACATTTTTCTTGCAGGATTCTAAAATCAAGTTCCCACTGCCACACAGAGTTCTGCGTCGCCAGCACAAACCACGCTTCACCACCAAGAGACCAAATACTTTCTATTAAATACAAAAACATGTTGTCAACTCTGTGTTGCAATAAAGGTCTTATTGGAAGCTTTCACTCCCAGTTGTCTTTTGGAGACTCTGTCCTGGTTATCTAGGAGTTGCCATTCCTGTTCTTTTCTTTTCTGTAAACTATTGGCAGCCTACTATTAACAGCTGTGATTCCCTTGAACAGGTGAGTGTTTCAGGTGCTGACTTAAATTACTGAACTATTCCATCAATAAATCAAATTTTAATAACCAACTTTCCAGGTCAGAGATGTCTGTTGTTGAGCTGCTGTAAAATCCTGCTTCCATTTTGTCCCTTTGGCACACTAAGTGAACAGTTGAGTTCAGGAAGAAGGCAGGTTCTGGTGCATACAGAACTCAGACTTAGCTGTAAGAAAGGAAGACCTCATAACTTCAGTTAAGCTGCTTCAAATTTTAAGGACTTGAAGCCAAAATTCTAGTTCTAACCAGAACCTTTTCAGGGATGTTACACACCACTCTGAATAAGGGATGTGTACGGAGGTGCCTGTGCCTAGAAAAGAAAAGTGATGAAGTATTTGGCAGATTTATCCTTTTCTATTAGACCAGTGAATGAAAATGATGACAATTTCTATATCCAAATCCTTAGGCTGCTTACTGTTCACAGTAAGAAGCTTGCAGACACTGTAGTTGTGGTTTATTTAAAAGGCTGCTCCATACCTAAAGGTGGTGCTTGCATCTGATGCCCATTTTCAGTGGCGGTGTTTCCTGAGGCAGTCAGCTACTTAGTTAAGTACGTGGGTCATGCCGGTGTAAAAGAACTGATGCTGTGTCTTGTCCAGATTTCAGCTTAAAAACAGCTGCAGGTGCTGTTAGAGTGCAGGGAAATACTGTGCAGAGAGGGAGCTGGGAATTTGTCCTTTCTGGGTTGACTGGAGAGCTGCCACTCGGTCTGGAGCGGTGCTCTCAGTGCAAGGGTGGGTAAGTTCTGCGGAACTGGGTCAGTCAGCGTGCCCAGAGAGCTCCCATTCCGCGGCTCAGCCTTGTGCTCCTCATCGCCCGCACGGAGAATGAGTTCAGGCAGCTCGTCTGTCTGAAACACGAACTGAAGCAAATGGGAATAATGTGGGCAATCCACCGTATCCCCAATCGCAAGGGAGGGGGAAACTGAAGCCAAAGTAGCTGGAGGGCTCTGTGGGAGTGAAAGAGGCGGGAGGAAGGGCCTCAGAAGGACCTGGAGCTGTAGAAGGTTCTTAGCTGTACGTACAATTTAGCAGGAGAGTGTCTCCGTTCCGCGTACACCGTGAAGCGCAGGGCGGCGGGCGGGAGCACCCGGCCAGCAGGGGCACGCGCACACCGGGGCCCGGCGCTGCCGCGCGCTGCCGCTGCCCCGCCCGCCGGCCGCGCGAGCGCCCGCCCGTCACGTGACCCCTAGCCGGCCGCTCCCCCGTTCCGCCGGTCACGTGTTCCCTCGCGCGGGAGGGCGGGCGCCGGACCCGGAAGTGGCGGCCGCTGCGGAGGCGCCGGGCGGGATGGGGGAGTCGATCCCGCTGGGAGCGCCGGTGCCCGTGGAGCAGGCCGTGCTGGAGACCTTCTTCTCCCACCTGGGCATCTTCTCCTACGACAAGGCCAAGGACAATGTGGAGAAGGAGCGGGAGGCCAACAAGAGCGCGGGCTCCAGCTGGCTGGCGCTGCTGGCCGGGCTGGCGCACCTGGCGGCGGCCGAGAAGGCCTATCACAGCATGACCTTCCTGGGACAGAAGCTAGGTACCGCTCCGGGGAGGGAGGGACCGCCTCAGCCGGGGGGCCTGCCCCGCGCGGCGCTCCGCGGGTGCGGAGCGGGCGGCCGGGAGCTCACCGGCGATCGCAGGCGCTGGGACCCGCGGTCCCGGGGGCCCTGCCTCGGCGGGTCCGTGCCTGTGCGTCCGAGACCCGCGCTGGCTTGGTGAGAGTCCGTGAGCCCGCTGGGAAAGCATTAGTGCTGCCGCTAAGGAACGGACCAGAGGACAGAGGTGCTGTGCAGTTGGCACGCTGGCTGCTGTGCCACACGCTGCATCTCTTCCCTGGCCAGCGGGCACCTACCCGCCCTTCCCAAGAATTAGCCGGAGGTGTTTCTGTGCTGAGATGCTCTGGCTGAGATATAGGCAAACATGACCTTCCTGGGGTGACCAAAGCGTTAAAGCTTTTCCACCTTGCATCAGAGGTGTATGTGTGCAAGTACTCGGGGCTGGAGGTAGGTAGCATCCTAGGAGTTGTTACCCATGCAGATACTGCAGGATCTCAGGAAGCTTTGGCCACGATAGCAGCTGATTCATGTTTATCAGTACATGAGTAGAAAATTCGAAACTGGCACAGGATGAGCTTTCATGATGCTACCCTCTGGGCAAAGCTGCTTATTTTCTTTTTGAAGTGCAGATGGGTATGGAAAATGGATCAAAGGATATGAGTCTCATGTATAGCACATTAAACCATCCAGAAAATTCAGCTTTGTTACTTAAATGATGACTTGGAACTATTATGAGATCTTTACAGCCAAAACTCTGACTGTAAGGCTGACTTTAAAGAGTGAATTTTGTGCTTGCAGAAAGGATGAAGGTGACAACAGAAGGGGCAAAGTTTTGTTTATTTATTTACTTCATGAACAACTGAAATAGATGATTCTTCCTCCTGCCCGTGGCTGGGGGACTACTCCTGTGTTACAATGGGAGCTGTTTCACTATGATAGCCAATTCTCTACCTTTCTACCTCAAATGTGAGTGGTCACCTTTGAACATTATATGTGTAAAAGGAATGTGGAAAGAGCTATCCAGCATTACAAAATTTATAAGCGGTTTCAAAGAGGCACCTGAATTTGGAATCTTTAAAAGATCCAGATTCAATCTCTGTGGTCTTTGCTCTGCTGCAGCTGTTGACTGCCTGAATGGCACATTAGGTCTTCTGTAAATGGAAGCTATGAAATAAGGCTAGTACATTTGTACAGTCTTTTTGTAATGTCAAAGTTAAATATCTTTGACCCTTTACTTCTCTCTTCTATTTTAAATTCCTCATAGTGTTGAGCAGGTAGAAAGGAGCACAGAGGACTTCTTGTCCTCCCTCCTGCCCTCCAAGTTTTAGTTATGGATTAACCTGCACTGTGGTCTCACTGGGATAAAGTGTGATTATTTTCCCTTTGAGTTCTGGTTTATATTTAGATTGTATAGGGACTGGTAACATTTGATTTGTACACACAGATGTCATATGGCTCCCATTTAAATGTTGCTTTGTGAATTTAAGTGCTTCGTGATGGAAGAGGGATTGTTAAGGGAATTCTCTGGAAAACATCTAGAATTATTAATAGGAGTGGAGGCTATAAAAATTTGATCAGTCAAGTCACTATGATTTAATTCTTCTGACTTCCACAGATAACAGTATTTCCAGGTTATGTATCATAGTAGCAAATTTAACTGAACCCTGGGTTTCTTAAAAGTCATGTCATAACTGAGGCAGCTGTGAAGGAGTTACTGTTTTACAGCAGCCATTGACTGCTGAGACATGAAGTGGGACAAGTGTAGCTTGCATGAAATTACATAAAGTGCTTCTGAGCATATGCTCTGTAATTCAGTTATGTGCAGAATAAAACACTGACTTTTGTTTCTTTGTTAAAAGAAGTACTGTAATTAAACAATGCTTACAAACAACTAGATCTATAATTACAAGCATTTTCCAGTGTTGCTGTCTATCTTTGCTGTCCCTGGATTTTGGTAATACCTCCATATTTATCTGAACAGGTGGTCAGTCATTCTTCAGCCGCAAGGACTCCATCCGAACCATCTACACATCTCTGCATAATGAGCTGAAGAAGGTGGTGGCGACGGGTCACAATGCACTAGGAGGAACAGCTCCTCACTTGGAAGAGCTGCTTTCTCACCTGTCTGAACAGCTCTGTTTTTTTGTTCAGGCTCGGATGGAAATTGCTGACTTCTATGAAAAAATGTACACGCTCAGCACCCAAAAGTTCATTAACTCTGAGGAACTGGTAAACATTTTGGAATCCATCTTAAAGAAATACAGTTCAAGGTCAGTGTTTCTTTGCTGGCAGTACATACTCAGGCTCGTGATCTGTCATACCTGATGTTGAAGTTCAAAGCAAACCCAAAGACTTTGCTGTCCTTTGACTGCTGAGCAGCACAGTCCCTTCACAAATTCATGTGTGAAGTCTGTGTTGGCCTGCATCAGATGCATAAAGTTTCTTCCAAAGAAGAAAAATAACAAAGGGAGTCTGCTCATGGTGTACTAGGAGCCTTCCTCCCTATGCATGTTCATTTCCAGGAGAGAGGAGGAGTGATTTTCCTTTTATAAGATGCAAGGCTTATTGTACTTTTTTCTTTGGTAGGGGAGAGGAAACAAGCCTTAATTTTGTGTGAGCTTCAGTAAAGGTGGCATAAATAAATCAAATACTTTTGTGACAATCTTACTTTTTAAGAATATATGTCTGCTTAGATCTAAAAGCTACACCACAACCCTCCTAGCTGGGAGGGCTTTATGGTGCTCTGTTACCACTTTTCTCCAGAGGTCTTGGAGCCAGTAGGAGGAGCACCTCTGAGACTTTGGTCCTTGCCACTGTGGTTTCTTGAAGTTAAGATTTAATAGATCCTGTTGCAAAAATCCTGGGATGTTTCTAAATGAGGGTAGGTTGGGTATTTCACATCTAACTTATGTGCCTTGAAAGTGATAGCAGTTTAAAAGAGAATTTTTGAATGCTTCTCAACACACTCAATTTCCGCCTCTTCATTTTAAACCAAAAAAGGTAGCCATTGTAGGAAGTTAACTGTCAGATGTGGTTGAATTTCTTTAAATTGTTGTTAGTGAAATAGTGTCTAAGACTTTTGAGGAGAATATTCATAGGTCTTAATCTTTTCAGTTATGATTTTTATAGTGTTCACCTAGGAAAAATGAAGATAATTCAGTGCTGCTTTCTGATATTCCAAACAGAAGCACTACAGCTGATTCCCTTATTTTTTAGGGATACCTTTGGCAAATTGCTATGTAATTTTGCAATTTGAAAATCAAAACTAGTCTATATGATCTTAGTAGTGATGTTTTTCAATTCTTG